GATGGCCTCCACCCTAGTAGCTTCTTGCTATTAGTAGCGATGGCCTCTACCCTAGCAGCTTCTTGCTACCGGTAGCGATGGCCTCTACCCTAGCAGCTTCTTGCTACTGGTAGCGATGGCCTCCACCCTAGTAGCTTCTGGCTACTAGTAGCGATTGCCTCCACCCCAGCAGCTTCTTGCTGCTAGTAGCGATGGCCTCCACCCTAGTAGCTTCTTGCTACTAGTAGCGATGGCCTCCACCCTAGTAGCTTCTTGCCACTAGTAGCGATGGCCTCCACCCTAGTAGTTCTTCTGTCATCGCAATTCTTTTGCAATCTGGATTTCTCGGGCGTTTCATTGTGAAGCCTTCAGCAACCTGTGGGCTCTTGTGCGGCAGAGAAAGCATTCTTGTTACCCTCCACCAACATATCTGACCTTATCCAAAGTGGTGTAAGTTGATGTGCGGTGGAATAAGGGCGCATCGTGTCTTTGTTCGGTTGACCTTTCCTCTTCTTCTTTGGACCTTTCTTTCTTTTCTCAGCAGATGAATATGAACACGCATTCTTTACAGTTTAGCTGCTGCTGCTGCTCTACCTCTACCAGCGCTTGCCGTGGAGCCTTGTCCAGCCTGCCTGGCGTATTTTTGTACCGAGTGTGTCAAAACAGAAAGCAGAGAAACGGGACTCTACGAAAACATGAACGAATAACATACTTTAAGTGTGTTTTCTTCTTTTACTATGGTAGGTGCACCATAGGTACTCCAGTAGCTTTCAAGCTCAGTAGCTTACCTAGCTTACTACAAGCTACCTAGCTGACCTACTCATACCTACTGCCCCCACTACTTGCTCCCATGGCCTACCCTTTCAGAAAGGAACATAAGAAGGTAAGGGCTTTTTTGCACGTCCCCTTAAAAAGGGACTTCATTAAAAGGGCCCAACACAACCTCTGTTCTTTTTATGACATTATTATTCATTATTTAAACACAGTATTGTTTATCTATTTATTTATTTATTCACTATTTGCAGTTTGCAGTTTTTGTTAAAACTGCCATGAGCCGTGAGCCGTGAGCCGGAGCCGTGAAAGGCTGGTTCGAACAACTGCTACTCCACCGCCTCGGCCATGAAGCCCTGGAAGTGGCCAGCGGGCAAGAGCCGCGCCTTGGCGAGAGAACGGAACCCGAAAAATCGTTTCGAGAGAAAACGCCTTAAACGCAAACGTATAAGCAGCTTCTTGCTAGTAGCGATGGCCTCCAACCTACTAGCTTCTTGCTACTATTTTTCAATGCTAGATGCAGAGTTTGCATTGAACCTTTGGCGTGTTAACATTTGGTGTGGTGTGATGAGGTTGGGTGTTTTACAGTTGGGTGTGGTGGAGTTGTTGGTTCAATTGTATCACAAGGGCGATACTCAACTCATAAGCCAAACACATGGCTTCTCAATTTTCAAGATATTCCAACTCATGAACACATATTCATTCGATCATTTTCTCATTTGTATCCTTTTCCAAGATGGCTCAACTTTTCACAAGATAGGACACGGCACAAGGATTTGTACTGGGGATGTTGCACCGCTCTGAGGTTGGAACCGTGATTTCTAGCAATGGCCTTTAACAGCGATGGCCTTTGCTCCTAGTAGCTTCTTGTTCCGTTCGTAGTAAGGCCAGGAGCTACTAGTAGCGTCCTTGCTCCTAGTAGCGTCCTTGTTCCTTGTTGCGGCTTGTTGTGGCTTGTTGCCTGGTCCAGTCCTTTCAATTTGCCATTCATGCAGTCTCTGATGGCAGTCGAACACTTTTGCTGAACTTTTCTACTGCGTGACAAACTACCAAATACTTCGCTGTAACAGTGTAATTTGCCAATCCCTTCCTTTGCCTTTGTTTGCTCCATCTTCCATGTTACGTTTCCACCGTGCAGAAGTTCCAAGCTGTGGTTTCAATTTAAGGTGTTTCAATGTTCCATGTGACTTCTTTGAGTAGACGAAAGACTTAACTTCTAAGCAAAACTTCAAAGCAAAGGTGTTATTGCAGCCACGTCTCATCCCAACCATTTCCTGTCCGCACCCAGCTCTTGACTTTGCCAGACCAGGCGGATAAAGTCGAGTTCCGCAACTGCGCAGGATTCCGCAACTAGGATTCCGCAACTGTTTGGTCGGATTCCGCAATTGGGATTCCGCAACTGGGATTCCGAAACTAGGATTCCGCAACTAGGATTCCGCAACTAGAATTCCGCAACTAGGATTCCGCAACTAGGATTCCGAAACTAGGATTCCGCAACTGTCAAGATTCCGCAACTAGGATTCCGCAACTAGGATTCTGCAACTGGGATTCCGCAACTGGCGTTCCGCAACTAGGATTCCGCAACATTGTGGACTCCCTCACTAGGATTCCGCAACTTTGTGAATGATGAGGGATGTCGAGATGACACGATGGGGACAAGGGGGGGTTGGGTGGGGGGCTAATGACGTTGGTTTGGATGTGCTTCGAAGGTGATGTCACAGGCACACACGCTATCGCATGATGTGGAGATCACCAGTTGCAAGTTTCAGAATACCAGTTGCAGAATCTGACTTTCCAGTTTCAGAATACAAGTTTCAGAATCCCAGTTTCAGAATCCTAGTTTCAGAACCCCAGTTTCAGAATACCAGTTTCAGAATCCAAGTTTCAGAACCCTAGTTTCAGAACCCCAGTTTCAGAACCCTAGTTTCAGAATCCGACCGATTAGTTTCCGAATCCGGCTCTAACCCAGACCAGGCCAGCAATTGCACACCACACCCGGGTAGAGTACGGTTAGGTGGACGCCATCGCTAGTAGGTTGGAGGCCATTGCGATTGGGTTGGAGGTTGGAGGCCATTGCTAGTAGGTTGGAGGCCATCGCTAGTAGGTCGGAGGCGATTGATTTTGATCGTTTCTTTGAGGAACAGATGCCGTCCAAGAGCTTAGGACAGACAGCGAATTTGCCGATTGGAATTCGCTTTCAACGCTGTCGTGCTTGCAGGACGGTGATTGAGGCCTATCCAAAGGAGAGGTCCATTTCTGGTGGAAATACAAGTGCTTCTTTCACTTAGCCTGCTCTCACTTGCTTTGCAGGAAGGACAGGATGGAGTTGACCAGGGTGGATGGTCGTTTGCAGTGGATGACCTCTCAAGCAAAGGCATCTGCAAAAGAGAAAGTTGTAAAACATGTTCGATAGCCTCATGATGAGGCAGCCTCATGTTTGAACAAGACTCTTGTCCAGGCTACGCGCGACTGGAGTTCATGTCGGGTGTTTTGGCTGCAGCTTGGTATTACCAAACTGAATAGGCAAGATTGTATCTTATGGCCGCCCCTTAGCATTTCAGGCGTTGGTAACTTTGTGCAGTTCTCAGATTCTGACCTATTGAGAGGCTACTAGTAACAAGTGCATCGCTTCTAGTAACAAGTGCCTTACTAGTAGTAACAAGAAGCTACTAGAAACAAGAAGCTACTAGTAACAAGTGCATCCTGCGTTGAGATGAGGCGAAGTTCTTCAATGGCGGCAAGCCTTTCGTGGATGCCTGCAACCTAGAAGCAATGGCCTCCAACCTAATAGCGATGGCTTTTCCAACCTAAAAGCGAAGGATTTTCCAATGCCTAAGAAGCCTTGGACTCCTTTTCCTGCATGTTGTTCCAGTGCCTCTGAGTCACAGGCACCTACACTCTACACTCAGAACAAACGCCATCGCACAGTATGCAACTTTTCACACATGTTCCTAGTAGCGTCTTTGTTCCTAGTAGCGATCCCAGGAGCCCCTAGTAGCTTCTTGTCCCTAGTAACTTTTTGTTGTGTTTGGGGATGTGTGGAATAAAGTGCACACACCCCTAAAACGCGGGTTATAGATCCACACTGGCAAGCGTACAGCATACTTTTTGCACGCCTTAGCGAGCTGTTCGGCATTAAACACTCCAGAGCACCTTTGGCATTCCGCTGCTGCTGAGCTTTCGACAGGTGCCAGTTTCAATGCCCCAGCGCGCATGTTTCAAGAGCACCTGATTTAGACGCCGCTCTTGAGCTCCCACTGTAAGATCTGCAAGAACTCCCTTCGAAGAAACATGGTGCAGCTGTCAAACTATTCTTCCAATTGCATCTGGGAGAGGTTGATGGAAGGGATGTAGAGGGTACATCAAATTATCCTGATAACAGTGTGACTAGCAAAAGAGACAGATATTTGACCAATCAGTGGTGACTGCCGTGCCTTGCTGGACTCATCGAAGGCCGAGGCTGTCTCATTCAAAGGGGAGGTTCCCACTCCTCATCGAACTGTTCCGAGACCGCACCTGTTGACCGCTTTTCTTTGCTTTACCGAGCTCTACGTAATCCGGCAACATGACTGCAAGTGTACGGCGGACAACTCTGTTTTTTTCGCGCCGCGCTCTCTTTGCCCTGCCCTTTTGTCAAAGAGCAAAGCTGTTGCGACATTTTTTTTGGAGCTCGGAGAAGAGAGCGAGGAGGCTGGTAGCTCCTCTCTTCAACACTTCATCGCTTTCTTCCACAGCCATTTCGTGCTCATCGCTGGTTTATCCATCGCTGCGCTCTCTTTTTCTTGAACTCATTGGCGTCTCCCGTCATTGTAAAGAACAGCAAGGAAAGCTCCTTTAAAGCAGACAAAACAACGATGTAGGAATGTTATGGAATGTTGGTGTCCACTGATGGGGAAGCTTTGACAGACCTGATGGAAGTTTCCGTTTGGAGTTTTCTAGGCTAACTGGAAATTCTGCAGGACTTTGAGGTGAATGTAGAGGATGACAAGGTGAGCGTCAGGAGCTCTTCCCGGGTTGGAGACAGTGATTTGGGAGTCAATGCAAAACGTTCTCGCCTCAGATCTCGAAGAGCCGCTTCGTTTGACCGGCGCTCTCTTTGTGACACGTGAAGAAGCTACTAGGGGCTCCTGGCCTTACTACTAGTAACAAGAGGACGCTACTAGGAGCAAAGGGCATCGCTACTAGTAGCGAGGATGCGACTAGTAACAAGCCACCTTACTAGCAGGAAGCGACTAGAGCGGAGCACTAAGGCATCAACTACATTGCATCAGGTTTGAGAGCGAAGGGCTGGGAGGCTTCTGGTGTATAGACCTTTCAGGATGTGTATAGATGTTGCCTCCAAAAAGGTGGAGCGCCTGCGCGATGTTGCGCATGGGAGATAGACTTGTAAACTAAGAAAGACGAACATGCGAAGACAGACAGAAATCAACAAGAGCATCTAAGAAAATGGTCGAATACTTGAAGCGACTGGAAGCAAGGTCCTGGAGCACTGGTTCTTTCTTTGCAAGCAGTATCTGCTTTGCTAAAGGACCCTTTGAACTGAGCAACGCAAACCGTGGTTGTGCACATGTCCGTCTACGGAGACTATCGGGACTAGTAGGTGTTACTAGTAGAAACAAGTGCCTCGCTAGTGGTAACAAGTGCCTTACTACTAGTAACAATAAGAATTTAAAAAATGATTGTAATTACAGAGCCTTCGTTGCGTTTTGTAGGACTTAGAAGAATCTGCTCGCAGATTGTTGGAACTGCGTGAGTTTCTCAGTGTGACAGACACACAATTAAATTAACTAATGGCTTCTTGTTACTACTAGTAAGGCACTTGTTATTAGAAGCGATGCACTTGTTACTAGAAGCAATTTACTGTGTTTTGTTGTTTTGAACACATTGAAGTTTGAAGACTACAGCACAAAGGAGCGCTTTGTGTGAAGCAAACATTTAATGCACAGATTTGTTTCACTGTGTCTTGGCACGAAACTCTTCCTAGGAATCATGTCCGACTTGCGCATCACCATGCAGCGTCGTCGATTGCAAAGCCTTTTGGTTGCAAAGCTCCCATTGAGCGTGAACGCACAAATTCGAACAGTATTGCTTGAATTTGGTTTGTATGTGTCAGGTGAGCTGAAGTCCTCACGGAAACCAAAGCGGCCTAGTATACGTCAGGAGCCTTGGAATCCAGACATGCATCTGAAAGGCTTGTGGTCAGAAGATTTTGGCCATTGGATTTCTCATATGTTGGTAGAACATGACAGAAGACTAAGGTGCTCAACCGCCAGCAAGTGCCTTAGGGGAACGCAGAAGAAGTGCTTGTTGCATGCGGGTGAATTGGACGTGTAGATAGTGGGTAAAGTTGGTCAAAAGCCACAGAGAGACTGTTGTCGGTTTCATCAGCACAGGTTGTGGAGGCCATCGGTATTAGGTTGGATGCCATCGCTAGTAGGTCAGAGGAAATCGCCATTAGGTTGGAGGCCTCCAACCTAGTAGCGATGGCCTCCAGTGCTCGTCCTCATCTAAACAGAAGCTACCTGCAAAACCAAAGAAGAAGACTAATTATTCGAGATCTTTAGAACCCTTTAGATTTTTTCCTGAATGCGTAGCGACGGGTTCGCGTTTAACTCTGGGGTCTGGGGGTAGAGTGTCGTTCGCGGTAGACCTCTATGGCGCTGACATTAGGCGAAGCTTTTGGAAAAGGTTTTGGATGGCAGCATGACGTGTCAGATTCGTGTGGAGCGTGTGGAATCGTAACATATTGAAGTGTGGAGGAGGATTTCACAGCGCAGGTGCAGCGTTTTGTGAGATCGGCAGTCTTCTTCACAGTCAGATTAGGACTGTCCAGCGCTCTGGCCTCTATGAAATGGACATAGATAATCTTCGGGCTTCTGAGAGGAGGCCTCCCAGAAGCGGATATCGCCAGCTTTCTTGCCTCTAAAGAATTGACATAGATAATCCTCGGGCCTCTAAGAAGTGGACATAGATAATCTGCAGGCTCCCATGAAGCGGATATAGCCAGCCCTCTCGCCTCTAAGAATTTTGAACAACAACTCTAGAAGCGCGCGCCTGTCCGCGTACTTGTCGTCTCTAGCGCGCGCGCAAACGCAGTAATAAAACTCTCGGAACTATTTATGCGCATCTCTTACTTCTACATAACCTTTCCTTCCATGCTCCCGGGCCATCCGTCTTCCTTTTTTCTCCAAATTACGCTTAAATTAAATTTCGATACTCACACCTGTTTTGACTTTACCTCTTAGGTTTTGTTCTTGCAATTCTTATTTTTCTTGCATTGTTTGCAATAGATACGCCCAGCTCTTTAACAGCCCTCACCCATGGCCCGCCTTGTTGTCATCATGACCTGATGGGAAGGTGCTGGGGCGCCTGCCACGAAAAGTGATGACGTGACATCTTCGAGTCTTCAGCAAAATTTGCACCACGCCGTACGTTTGGTATGATTTCGACACGTTCGGACCACACTCCCACCCACCAAAGTCGCAATTTTAGATAAGACCCTAATGTCACAGCCACATCTAACACCCCAAAAAACACAACCCTTAACACGCCAATCCCAATCTGACTGTGACGAAAACCGAGGATCTCACAAAAGACGCTGCGCCTGCGCAGTGAAACCATTTTCCACGCTTCAACACGTTACGTTTCTAAACGTTTCCTCGCTATTTCACACAAACCTGACACGTCATGCTGCCATCCCAAACCTATCCAAAAGCTTCGCCTAATTTCAGCGCCGCAGCGCCCTACCGCGAACAGTTGCGGACGGTTGCGAGCGGTTACGGACGGTAGCCGGGAAGCAGCTTCTGGGAGCGCTGGCCTCAGAACTGGCAGCTTTGTAGTACAAACGCTATGGCCTCAGAAAGTTAATGCACATGTAGCGCGGGATGTGGTTGTTGCGGTTTTGTGCGACCTCGGTGGAAAGTGCGTTTGCGTGAGTCCGTGCCATTGGGGAAGGAACGCATGCTGGCGTAGATTCGGCGTGTCGCTGGTGTTACATTGTTGTATCTAGTCTGTGGCACACCACAAGAGTGTCGCACGAGAGTAGTACTCTTGTGAGTGCCCCACAAAAGTCTCCAACAAGAGTGTCCTACAAAAATCTCCTTCAAAAGTGTCCCATGACAGACACAATGCCACGAAGTAGTCCCACAAGTCCAGAAGAGAGTGCCCAGAACAGTTTTCCACAAGGATGTCCCACAAGACTCTCCCACAAGAGTTTTCAGCAAGAGTGTCCCAAAAGAGTGTCCCGCAAGAGTGCCCCACAAGAGTGTCCCTCAAGAGCACCGCGTACAAAAGTGTCTTACAAGAGTGTCCCACAAGAGTGTCAAACAAAGTTTGGGTTTGTTTTCGAGCGCGTGTTTGCATTCGGGTTCGTGGGTTCCATCTTGTTTTTTCGAACATCGCCGCCGTGCAGAAAACAAACATGTCCGTTGTGTACTTTGTGTACCTCAGGCCCACGAGGGGCGAGTGCATGGGAACTTCCCCAACTTGGTCTGGATGCTTAGGTTGGAGGCCGCTAGTAGGCTGGAGGTCATCTGCGGCACTCCAATAAGTGCTGGAACAACCAATGTCTCGTGTGACTCCACATAAGCGTTCATGTGCCCATTTGATTCATGTGGGGCGGATAGATGAGCGTCAGATTTACCGGCCGGAATGGTTTTGAGTCGTCATTTGAGGTTGCACTTTTCAACACACGTTTGCACCAGCGGCGGCTTGACCAAGAGGTTTGGGCCACTCTCAGATTTGCTGGGATTTGAGAAGAAATCAAGAGAAAAAATATCAAAGAAGGAACAGAGTTATCGTCTTTTTTCGAAGCTGTTTTTTGTTTTTGTTCTTTAATGAGAACTTGGCCTCTGATTTTGGAGGCGCATGTGGAACTGTTGCGGGTTGACTCACCAAGATCGGAAGAGGCTGCAAACCAGAGCAGTACACGCTTTCACACAAAGAATTCGCTATCAGGTGGAGGCCATTGCTATTAGGAACAAGAAGCTACTAGGGGCTCCTGGCCTTACTACTAGTAACAAGAAGGCTAGCAGATTAAAAGCCATTGGAGGCCATTGCTATTAGGTTGGAGCGTTGGAGCAACCATTGATTTTGCAGTGGTTGACTTAATGTGTTTGTTTGGCTCGTCACAGGTGCCTGAAACGGCATCAGAGTATTTTGGCAGCAATTTGTGTCCCTCTCTCCTTGATCTTGTACTTCCTGATATACATTTCAAGCCCAAACTTAAACGTTTATTGAATCGAGAGAACTGACCATCACGCGCAGCGACCAAGACAGTAACACTAACGACATCGTCGAGACACGACACGACCGAATAGGAATGGCCTCCGACCTAACAGGAATGGCCTCCAACCGACCTAAGAGCGATGGCCTCCAACCTAGAAGCGATGGCCTCCATCCTACTAGCGATGGCCTCCAACTGACTAGGAATGGCCTCCACCCTAAGAGCGATGGCCTCCAAGCGATGGTACATGCTGGCTGCACTGGAGGTCAAGCCACATCCCTATGGCAGGCATCGTGCAGCTGTAGTGAAGTCAGGAAAAACTTGACACCATGCACTTTCAAAGGTGAGCGTGGTGACCGTGGTGACCGTCCTGATCCAGTTTGCGCCCCGGGCGGGTGGGACTTTTTAACGTCGAATATGAAGGCCAAGCTCTTTTTCCTTTGTAGATTTCATGGGAAGGCGAGCAGCAATAGAACAATTCATTGGTAAGTATCAATAGAACATATCAAAACATGCATTGACGTGTAGAGCTTGTGTGATAAGAGTGCATTTTTCAAGGGTTTCACTGGCAAGGATCAGAGCGATCCTACACTTGTGGCAATGGTGCTTGCCTCGAGATTCCCACATGGATTACTTGGTACTGGCAAGTTGACAAAGATTACTCGGTCCGAGGCAGGTGCTAATGCCCGACACTTTGTTCCTGAAAAACTTCCTTGGCAAGCTCGGCAGCTCAATTGTGTGAAAGGACAGTAATATGTGTTTTTCCAAGTGTGGTCAGTTAATATGTCATTTGTTTATGTTGCTTTGGCTAGAAGCGAAAGCAGAGCGGAACACGCAGAATATGACGAAGAATGAAGTGAAATCTTTGTGATGCTGAGAATTTCACGTTGAGGTCCTGCGAAACATCACACGGGTGCTTCAAGTTTGCTGGCTTTGGCCTAACTCTTAACATCAAATCCATGAGTTTCCCTTTTGTTATTAGGTTGGAGGCTATCGCTAGTAGGGTGGAGGCCTTGCTTCTGGGTTGGAGGGCATCCCTTGTAGGTTGGAGGCCATCGCTATTAGGTTCCTTTTGCTATTAGGATGGAGGCCATCACATTCAAAGGCTTTTGGTTGGTCCGTTTTCCATCCCAAAGATAGCTCGTGATGCAATTAGGTCGGGCATCATGGCGTTTCTGAAGGAGGTGTGCCTTCAAAGAGAAAACGATCGCCAGCAGCAGCTACTGAGTAGCTCATTATTACTACTTTTTCTGTGTGTGTGTGGGTAGGCTGTAGTAAGCCTTAAGTAGCTAGTAGCTAACAAGGAGGTAAAGCTACTAAGCTCAAGTGGCTACTGGCTTGGAGGCAGAAGCCTGAGCAGAGATTGATTTGGGCAATGCTGCTTCATTTGGCGATGGTTAAGGTTGCCTAAAAATCTAGGAACCAAATGAATAGTGCGAGCGCTTCTCCTACCTAGCGAACAAGTTCCTAGTAGCTACCTCTCCCTTACTTATTTAAGTCGGCGCCTACTTAATTAAGTAGGGAGGGGGGGAGCAGGCCAAAAACAGAAAGGTAATGCCCAGATTGGCACTGAAGGTGCATATTTACCAAGTGGACTTTCAGCAGCATCCTGCCAGTGAGCGAAGGCTGAACTTGTGGGGAGCTCGCCAGCTACGAAGGCATTCTCTGTCCTGTGAGGTTGTGCGAAGCTGGCACATGCGCAGCTTCAGGTTGGAGACCAACTTCTTCAGTGAATAGAATGGGCTAACGCCCGGGTGCCGCAGACCCCCACTTGGAGCAAGGGGAGCCCAAATAGTAGTTGTTTAGATATATGGTACACAGCACACAAAACACACAGACACGTATACACACCCACACTTTGACAATGGGCTTTCAGTTACATCAATTCCACAAAAAATGGACGCAAACGGCAAGGCGGCTGGGTCAATGGAAGTGAAGGTGTTTAACCAAAAGGTTTGCATGACTGCGGACTCTAGTTCCTGAATACGTAGCGAGCGAAAAATGGACGCAAACGGCAAAGCAGCTGGGTCAGTGGAATTGAAGGTTTTTAACAAAAGTTTGTATGACTGCGCACGTTAGTTACTGAATATGTAGCGAGGGACACCTGTTTTGGGATCTATCATGAGAACGACCATGGAAGCAAACCAGGAAAGTAGACAGCGCTCCATATTCTCTTGCGAAGGCAGAAGTCGCGTGTTTTACAGCACTGCGCAAGCTTGCGCAGGCACTCTACGGATGTGTTGAGGTTCGCGTTGGCGTTTTCGCGTAGGCTCTTGTTTCAGGGGGGACTTCAAGAGCACACATACATGGAGCCATTCTACGGGCAATGCAAAGAGACAGATTGCATTTGGACCCCTCCACTGGTCTCTTGACATGGGCGATTCTCGAAGATCACTTCCCCAAGGCTGCCCGGGTGCTTCCGAATCTCCAGAAAAAGGGTTGCGCTGTCAGAAACTTTCGCGCACCGGCCCTACCATCGCGACAGCCGAATCATCGCGCAAGCAAAAACGCGGCTTCCTGCTGCGGGTGTAGATGCGCCAAAAATTCTTGCCTTGCCACTCAGCAAGCCAACACTGCACAGCTTCTTGCCCCAAGAGTCCTTGATCGCATCCTTTTTGGAACGAGCCTTGCCCTTTGGACATCGCAACGGAAGAGCCCAGCATAACTGGATACATAGTACCCTTCGCTCTTCAACTTCTTCAACACCGCCGCCCTCGACAAAGATCGCAAAGAACGTCGTTTTGCTTTGCCCCAGATCGAGAAGGAATGAAAATTTTCATGAACAGGCCTCCAGCGATAACATCCAGGCGTCATGTAATGTTCAAACATTCCTGAAACCAACATTTACTTTGCCAAACTTAAAAGCTGCGCGTCGTTTATCTTCATCAACCGCTTCTAATGGAAACACACGTCCAAGTAAGGATGCGATCAATCAAGCCGAGCGTGCCCTCGAACTGGAATGTCAGCACAAGGATACGATTTCTACCGTTTTATATTGCTCCTCTGCCACCCCCCTCTTATACAGTCACGCGCTTGCCTTGCATGCTTGGCGACCACTTCCACTGCTTGCTTCAGAGTCTGCGCCGCCAACACTTTGTCCAAATGCTCTTCCACGAGTCGAGCCGTAGTCACACTACAATAAATTCCAAGCAAGACAGCAACCATAAACTTTAAACTGTTTATCTTTTGGTGTCTGCGTGAACGCCCTGCCTTGAATTCTTGACGTTGAATCCAGCGTCTCATAATTGAATGGGCGTCTTCGCAAAAATCCAACCAGTGACTCTTTGGCCCACAGAAACTTGAGGCTCTCGAAAGAAAGCACCGTTCGGCCAGGGGATGCGTAATCAGCACGGCTGGACACGCTTGCGCGGACAGCCACAGCAGGAAAAGATTCACCAAAACCGCACGCATGTGTTTTTTGACTTTGTCCAATTTGACGTTCGCGTTGATGTACCCCTTGGGCGCTTCTTCTTCGTCGTCCATGTTTTCCATGGCACGCCAATGAAATTACGCTTGCCGTTCAAAGGCTTGTTCAATTTATGTTTTCAAAACCCTACAATCTATAGGAACTGGAACCGCAGTCAACAAGTATGCCAGTATGTCGAGCTGAATCCATCCAAGTCACCAAAACCTGTCCACAACATTTCACCAGCGTTGGGTGCTGGAGCTAGAACAAGAAGGGCCTATTCTCCTGGCGCTACTATTGGCTCACCCTTGGACTCCTGGGATTGAGGTTTGGGGATTTGCTCGGCAGGCGCCCTTTGCAAAAGACGGAGCGCAACTTATCGACTTACTTACTATTGCTGAAACCAAAATGGCTATAGTTATCCATTCGGACCTCAGCAGCTGGAAAACCGTGGACCTATCTTAGTGGTCACCCACCCTTCTTCCATGTTTGCACGACCCAAGCTCCTTTATCTCAGTTTCAGTACCAGGCGGGCAGTGTTTTTGGTTACTCTTGGGTTATACACTGTTGGGGCACATACACGAGAAGCTTCGCAGGGCAGACTTTTCTGCAAAGGTTCGCGCTGCAGTTCAGCAGCAGCCTTGGGGATCAAGCAGCTTTTGCGGCGTTTGCCTACGCCTGACCTTCGCCAGCGCCTTCGCGAGCCTTCGGGTGAAACCAACAGACGATTTCCAGTTTATCAACTGCGAAAGTATGAAAGCATTGCAGTGCGTGCCTGTCCCACCAGCGAAGTGGGACCCGCCCAGGTTTGACAGATAAAGGCGCGGTACCGCCAAGGGTATTGCGCAGCCCAACTTTGGCGCGTTGCTTTTTGGAACGCGAAGCGGGCGCTTGCAAAACGGAGGATCGCTGGGTGTGTGTCGTTGAAACGAAAAAGACAAGAAAAGCGTACCGCCATCTAATCATATGGATACCCACAACCCAAAAAAGTGCAATGTCATGTGTAATGTTTTTGGGTTCGCTAGGAGTGTAGGCATATGCTCGGCAGGTCTTTGCAAGCCAAGAAGTGGACAGACGGTGGCAGGCGGAGTCTCCAACCAAAGCCGCCACTTCAGCGCCCATTGACAGGACTTCCACGCAAACAGAACCCTCCATGATGTCCAGGGTGAAAGAAGGCAAAAGCCACAATCGGGAACCCCAAAGTGATATTCATGGTGTAGAGTTGTTGCGCATTTTCTGGGATATGCAGCCACTGCAAGCATTGAAGTTGATGTAGCAGGTCCTGAAACGGTGGCTTGGCGAAGAAAGGAACCATCGTGGCCAAGGGGATGTGTGGGGTTTGAATTCAATATGTGCAAGGTTAAAGCAGAACTATTGGTCATATCATGAAAACAGATGAATATGATGGGATTACCATTGGGTCGGCCTGATGGGTGGCAAGCAAGTGCAGGATCACTCATACTAAGCGTCAGGGAAGCTGTAGTATATAGCTGTAGTCAGATTGTCAACCAAACAAAAACTCATCTGCCAGAAGCAACCATGTTGAGACTCTGTTCAGCGGCGACCTTTGTAGCGTCGAGGTGCAAGTGTTTCCGGAGTCTAACAGGTCGAGCGTGCATGTTGCTCGGCCTGGGGCCAGGTTTTTGGACCGTTGGACGCCAAAGCAGTTCTTGGGCGATGAGTTCGATGCTTCTCACGATGCTGCGTGGTCCAATCGGCCTGACGTGACCTCGTCATGCAAGCTTGCGGTAGACACGCCCAGGAAGTCTAACGTTCCAACGACAGATAGATAGAAAGTGCAATGAAGGTAGCAGTAGTACAAGTCGTAGAAGTGTCCCTGAGCAGAAGTCGTAGCTAGCGAATTCGAGTAGGATTGTGTATAGTATGCTTGCAGTTTTGGTGAGTTGAGTTGCGACGTTTTGTTTATATAGAAGTCTCTATAAGGCGATGGTTGGTCGCAGCAGAGCTGTCGCGTCTGAGGAGGTGACCATCTGTTCTCAGGCATCCAAGACTGCGGGGATGCTCCTTTCATCACGTCGTCCGATCTAGAAATACACGAGCAGGACAAGAATTGTCATTTGAATTCATTGTGCTCCACCAGTGACGTTCCATATGTTTGTTTGTTGCGTAATCCACCAGAAAAATCAGGGCTGAAGTGATGTACTCTACTCACAGGCCTTGGCTGGAAACATGTCAGGGCACGCTCCAAAAAACCAACGCAAGGAATACAGTGGCGTCGCAGTGTCCTGGCATACCTTGGTCAGGGGTTTCGCAGGATGTTGTGGGCGTGGGTTAAAATAATACTAACCCAACATGGTTGGTCGATATTGGCCGTTCGGCCAGGCGACGCACAGCTGGACACGCATGTGTCTTTTGACGTTGCCCAATTCGATGGTGGTGTTCACGTACACCTTGGGCGCTTCTGCTTCGTCGAGGAACCATCGTGGCCAAGGGGATGTGTGGGGCTGGAACTCAAAATACGCAAGGTTAAAGCAGAACTATTGGTCAAAACATGAAAATAGATGAATACGATGGGATTACCATAGGGTTTCTATGACTAGGAATATGCAATGTGATTGACGCCAGAAGCAACATATGAAAAGAACAATGTCAGATAACATTACAGCGCCCTTGCACACCGTCAGTGATTCGAGGAAAAAGAGCGCGCGGTTTTTCGAGAAAAGTTATGAGATTGGACCCTGAAGGCTCGAAGCCGGGTCATATGGAACCCTACGGCTAAGGAATGACACGCAGGGGCTTTGCCAGGCAAGGCTGCGGTGCAGGAGTGGAATCAAAACTGCCGAGGAGCGTTTGAGGGCTGGAGAACCGCAGCCTCGAAACTGTCAGGAATGACATGAGGTCCAATGCTGCCGAGGAGGGTTTAAGGGGTGGCCGTTTAGTCTCGAAACTTTAAGGACTGAGACATGGCTGCCATGCAGGAGTGAGGTCAAAGCTGCCGAGGAGCGTTTAAGGTTCTAGCTGGCCAAAGGTAATGGTAGTAAAAGCAAAGGCCCACACCAAAGGTGGTCCCAGGCGCCGCCCTGGCCATGGACCAAGCTGGGGTCGGCGGATTTTTGTTTTCCATTGTTTTTTTTCTTCAGTCTTTATGTTTTTGTTTCTTCAGTTCCTTATCCAGCTCGTCCTTTTTTTCTCTTCTTTTCTCGCAGTTTGGAGCTTCAGCAAGATGGACGTGGCCCGCGACCCACTTCACAGTGTGTTCATTTGACGGGCGTCTTTCTCCAGTCTGCTCGCGTATCCGCCTGGCATGTGTATTTGCTTCGGACTTGCCCAGGATTGGCCACATGGTACTTTTTTCCGCCCGCAGGCCAAGAAGTGTTGCTGCAAGTCATGTCTTTGGTTGCCAAACTATTTCACTTGCCAGCTTATCAATGCGCAGGGAATCTTTTGCGCCAACCACTTCTTTGTTGCCAGCCCTTTCGCGGTGCACTCATGGCAGCACTGCATATCCCCTGTGTGTGCTTCTTTTCTGAGTTCTTCATTGGGCAAATACCTGTTTCGGCAAAGTTGAGGCCTTGTATCAAGGGCAGCAGAGTGCCCATGTGCAGCTCAAAGAGGCAAGCACCGAAAACTATCCTGAAACACCTAAGAACGTGTAAGCCGTGTAAGCCGTGTAACACGTCAGTGTTGGGTTCTTCCTCTGACAGGTTCAGCGTGTATCATTGCCCCATGCTGTCAGTGCAGCTTGCCGTCCTGGAGTTGACATCTCTGAGTGCCTCCTCATAGCTCCGGCAAAGGAGCTCGAACCTACTAGCATATAAAGGAACCTAAGAGCGATGGCCTCCAACCTACTAGAAATGGCCTCCAACCTAGAAGCAAAGGAGCCCATAGGGTAGAGCTTGTGCTTTGCTTGGAGTGCTTTGAAATAAGCACTTTGAGAGAAGCTTGACGGCTTGCTGTAAGATGTTTCAATATTTTTTGGAAGCACTTTACAAACAAACGGCGTGAAAGACATTCTTGTTTGGCTGGTTGAGCTGCTGCTAGGAGGGATTACAGATCTGGAACTCAGCTTCAAGAGGTGTGGCTTTGGTTCCTTCTGAATTCTAGATTTTTGACAACAGCCAGGTCGCACAGTTGCAAGACTCGATGAAGCGTGGCTTGGCAATCCACTCACAGCTACCGCTTTCCCAGACAAATGCATGCTTTTATGATCCTTCCAAATCACTAGTGCCAAGGCCTTGGCAGTTGCCAATTATCATATTAGGTTGGAGGTCATCGCTACCAGGTTGGAGGTAATCGCTACCAGGTTGGAGGTCATCACTATCAGGTTGGAGGTCATCGCCGCCAGGTTGGAGGCCATCGCTATTAGGTTGGAGGAGACGGGTATTAGGTTGGAGGTCATCGCTGCTAGGTTGGAGGTCATTTCTGCTAGGTTGGAGGTCATCGCTGCTAGGTGTGAGGTCATCGCTTTTAGGTTTGAGGTCATCGCTATTAGGTTGGAGGGCATGGCTATTAGGTTGGAGGTCATCGCTACTAGGTTGAAGGCAATCGCTCTTAGGTTAGAGGTCATCGCTATAAGGTGGAGGCCATCGCTCTTAGGTTTGAGGCCACTGCTAGTAGGTTGGAGGCCATCGCTACTAGGCTGGAGGCCATTGCTAGTAGGTTGGAGACCATCGCCATTCGGATGGAGGCCATCGCTACTAGGCTGGAGGCCGAACAAAGTCCTATTCCGCAACTCTCCATTCTTGTGAGACTTTTCTTCCGCAACTATTTGGTATTCTTCCGCAACTACAGGCCATCGCTAGTAGGTTGGAGGCCATCAATTGGCAGTTGCCGTGGCAGTTGACAAAAGTGTCACAAAGTGTAAGGTGGCACGTGGCGGCTGGGAGCACCGTTCCATGCGAACAGGCACGACGCTGCAGAGTCTGGGACGTTTAGAATGTGAGGTGAAAACAGGACTAACTCCTCAAACAACGAGGAAATCTATTGTGCATTGATATGGAACTGCAGCGGCTCTTGTAGGTGGCAGCTGTTTTCAAAGAGGGCGCTTAGTACTGAACAAACCACGTGCTTCCTTTTTGCTTGCAGGTTCTCCAGTTGCTTCCTCCAGATGAAGTCTGCTCTCTAGTTTGATGTTGCATACTGCTTTAAGCGTGAACTGGCCATCGACATTGTGTTACAAGGACATGGGCAACATGCCTATTAGGATAACTAGAATGTGCATCATGCGTTTTCTGACATGTTTGCCCAGATCGGCTTGGCAGAATGGTGCCTGTTGCTGGCAGGCAGTAACCGCCACAATCCTTTTGCACTCCTTGTGACTAGACGGTCCTAGCTGTCGGAATTTCTGTTATATTTTCAGGTTGGGATGGCCGAAGAGTTCCAATTGCTGCGGTGCCGCTGATCCATGGTGGGGAAACACAGAACGTGTGAAAATTACCAATCTGCTGTGTGACACATCCAAACGGAGAATGAACTCCTTTCACAAAAAGCAAAAAACCAAAGCATTTGGTTTTGGCTTTCGCATTTCGCACCTTTCTTAAAAGGACCCGCCTTGTCTTTCAGGTGCATCATTGCCACCAGACACTTCTGTGCAGCCCGGTACCGCCTTCAGCGCTGGTTCTCCAACCGAAGATCAGACAGCGAGGGTCCGAACGAAGAACCAAGAACCTCCAACCAACCTCGGAGTGGCCTACAACCTAGTAGCGATGGCCTCCAACCCCTCCAACCCTCGCTCTACTCCGTCCTTGCTGATAGAGTCCTGTTCCTACCGATAAGTATGCCAAAAGCCGAGTAGAACTGAACTAGCTGTTTTTTCGGAAAACAAAAACACAGAACACAAGCGTCCTTGCATCCTTGCTCCTAGTAAGGCCCTTTGCTCCGTTCGTAGCGAACGTGTATTGGACCCGTGGACTTGAGGCCTAGATGTGCCCTTGCAAGAGGATGCCAAGGATCTTAGAAGTCCAAAAGTCTAAAGAAATAGGAAAAAAGCAAGCACACTAGTGCTTGTTTCATGAACAAGCATAATGCTTTGGATTGTTTTTTTCTAAATTGCAGATGATGGAAATACCGTGAGGACTTGGTGGCGATGCATATAGATTCGTGACCAGCTTGCAGAGAGCATTCATTTGGACAATGCAAGTTATTGCAGATGGATCGCCTCACGAAAGACGAAAGTGACGAAAGCTAAAGACAGTCGAACAAATTGGTTTTTGTTTTGTGTATGCAGAAGTAGGTGCCAAGTAGGACAAGAAGCCACCATCTTCGTTGTTTCAGCACATCCTTTGCAATTTGCAAGTTTGTATTTAAATTTATATGTGTTCCTAGTAGCGAACCTTGCTCCTAGTAGTACGGCCAGGAGCTCCTAGTAGCGTCCGATCGCTCCTAGTAGCGATGCCCTTTGCTCCTAGTAGCTTTTTGTTCCTAGTAGTAAGGCCAGGAGCCCCTAGTAGCAAACATTGTTACTACTAGTAAGGCACTTGTCACTAGAAGCGATGCACTTGTTCCTAGTAGCGTCCTGTTCGTAAGGAATGGCAATTTGGTGGCGATCATGTCTGGCTATCTCGAGGCCGACCGCGCTCCTTCCGTATTCGACCGGTCCATGCGAGCTTGCGTCGCAGGTCTGGGACCTCTTTGCTTCCCGGAGCTTGGGGCGATGGAGGCGAGGGAATGCGAGAAGGAAAGAAGTGAAAAGTCGAAAGAAAAGGAAAGAACATCTTCCAGTCTTTCTTTTTGTGTTTGAGATGCCTCCAGGCCACGGTGGCCTGAAAGTCCCGGGCTTGAAACCTGTAGTGGGCAACAACTAGTCCTTGCATTCCTTGTAGTGGGGCCTTCCAGGCTTCAAACCTGTGGGTATTTGCCAGGAGATTTGCCGCGTCAAATAGCATAGAAAGAGTGTTGAAACGGAATATTTACCTCTGGCCCTCCAGGATGCGAGTGTTGGATTCATGGTGGTCGGCCACGATGTGGACAGAGGTTTCCATGATCTTTTTGACTTTATATGTCGGGTTTGCTGTCGGGTTTGCTGTGGCTAGATATGGCTAGTAGGTTGGAGGCCATCTCTAGTAGGTTGGAGTTGTGATGGCGGTTTTGCTGTGGCTAATCTTGATTGCTGTTCCTTGTACCTTCCACTCTCAAGAGCCCAAAGAGTCATCCAGTCGGCCAATTCAGTCAGTTGCACTGGCTGTCTGTGGCTGATTGGCTGTCGCAAGTGCGTTGGCGGGCCCATCGCTGGCTGTCGGGGAGTTTCCGTCTTTCTTGAAGAACCCGAGACCGAAGGAAGTACCAAAGAAGCTCCTAGGGGCTCCTGGCATCGCTACTAGGAACAAGAAGCTATTAGAAACAATAATAAAAGCTTGAGTTTATTGTTTCTAATAGCTTCTTGTTCCTAGTAGTACGGCCAGGAGCCCCGTTCGTAGCGTCCGATCGCTCCTAGTAGCGATGCCAGGAGCCCCTAGGAGCTTCTTGTTTTGGTTCCTTCTTTTGGGCAAACTTCCATATCAAAACATTGCAGAGCACTCGCTGCACGCCTTATCGAAGGTCTCAGGTTCAAATCGAGGGGAGATGAGAGGAAATACGACCTGTCGATCTCCTTGTCACCCGGTCTCTTAGACAGGTCGTATCGCTATTAGGTTGGAGGCCATCCCTTTTAGGCCTTTTGCAGCTGAGTCTCCGTGTTCCCACGGACGATTGCGACCTGCGATCTCTACGGATATGTCTGGGTTAGTGCCATGATCGAAGCTCATCTGATCGTGTCCGTGAATTGCAAGCTACTTGTGTTACTAGTAGCGTCCTTGCTCCTAAAAGTTGAAACGAGTTGCTGTTCCTGGAGCTATCTTCAATGGATTGGTTAAGGGAAACAATGGTCGTGTAGATGTTCCCCTTAATTTAAACCAAATCTGGGATCTCTTTCAATGCACCGCCGCAACGTGTGAACTACAGTTTCATGGTAGGGTGTTTCATGCAGAACAACTGCTTCTTCCAAAGAATCTACTCACCGAACCAGTGCATTGGGTACTGAATCTGTGGATATTGGCGTCTCATCTCCAACTTCTTCTGTGCCTGCTTGCTTCTTCTGCCTTTTCCTCGTGCATTGGCTGCATGCTTCCCCCCTTGTGCTACTGTTTCTGAGGATATTATCCTGAAGATATTGAATGGCTTTAAGGTACACATGGCCTCCAACCTACTAGCGATGGCCTCCAACCTACGCGATGCCTC